TATTAATTACAATTCCAGTTTTTTTTTTTACTTTTTAGCTTTAAATTTGTTTATTTCTTATAGTATGTGATAGTGTTTATATTAAAAATGAAATCTGCGAAAAAGTCCCCAGCAAATTGCAATCTATATTGTGTTAATGTCAAAATCAAAACTGAAGTATTCATTATTTTCCAAATGCAAGTCGTAAAATTTTGTTTTTTACCATAAATGGATATCTACAAATTCACAATATTAAAATTTTGCAAAACTTTGTTTAAAATCGAAACTGTAGTCTGATTTGTGACGGTTTTAATACCATTTACATGTATACAAAGTACTACATAATTCACTTCATAATATAAGAATAAGTCTAGTAAGATATAATTTCAACAATAATAAACGTTTGGTACCTGAAATGTACTTTAAACCACATAATAAAACATGTCCTGGGTTTAGTAAATATGTATTTCTAGATATTCTTGTAGCAACCAATAGGTGAAAATTTCCAACAAATTAAGTCATACACATGATAAAAATTAACATTAAATGAAACTCAAAAACACTATTACAATGAGACTATTATCTAAAAACAGTTTAAAAAAATCACAAATACAAAATCCGCCCAAAACAAACACATGTAAATAAACAAACATCCTACTTATAGGTGACAAATGACAAGCGCGCGAAAATTAATTTGAATCGCGAATACGACCCTTCCAGTTATATCTTCTCAAGGAAATGTAGGATTTGGAGTGGCTTCAAGTTAGGTATAGTGCCTTTGGATTCTGGAGTGCTACACATTCAATTAGAATGTGAATGAAGGTTTCTTCCTCCTCCTTACAGAATCTGCAGTCACTAGCTTCTACTACTCAGTTTACTAAGGTGTCCTTTTAGTTGGCAATGCCCAAGTGTTATCACTACTAGAAAAATGTATGTTATGATAACAGCTTAAAATATAATCTGGCTAATGTGGAACATCCCGAAATACGGTTTTATAACCGAAACAGAAACCAAATTTCGGCTCCTTTCTTAGTTTCGACCGAAACAGAAACAAGAACTTTCTTTTAAGGCAATCTCTTATTGAAATTTGCAATATCTTATTGTAATCCTTGTTTTAGACTAATTAACTCGTATTATAAATTTTAGCTACATTTACTTATTACCTATTTATTTATGTGATCAAAAGAAGCCATTAATAAATTTATTGACATGTTCACTTGAAACAAAGCAGATAAGTTTGTGTGTACGTGCACTGTGTAGGAATGGCACCCGGCACAGTCGCCATTGTGCCGGACACAACCAATTATGATACGAAAACTTTTAAAAGTAGTTTCGTTGTCGGCTGCAATTTCGGCCAGTTTTCCGCCGAAACCGAAACTGTAGTCGAAACTCTTATTTAAAGCCAAAGTTGGCCGAAACCGTAACCACTCCTTCGGTCATACAAAAGTGGGCAAAAAATGTCTGATAATAATTTAGGCACGTGTGGTATTGGGTAAGAAAGTTTTACACCAAAATATACAAATATCAAAACTTTACAGATATGCATTAAAACGACTAAAATCAAATTTTCAAAGGTACCACAGAATAAAAAACATATGTTTTATATGCTGTGGCCATACCATGACCATTTGCCATATTTGAAGTCATTTAGTTGACGCGAAAAACCTAACTATTATTAAAATAAATGTAGTGTATTTCTACCTAGTTATAATTGGTATTAAATAAAATATTAACCACTGAAATGGCAAATTTTTTAATCACACTATCGCGTTGCGTCGTAATATTATATGCATGAAAGAGCTGCTCAACTGTCAAAAAAATTTTAAATATAATTTCGTTCAGGGTACCCACCAAAAGAAAAATTTCCGGAAATTTTTCTGGTTGTCATGGAAGCATTTTAAAATAACAGCATTTGATTGGCTATAAAATAGAGGTGTAAAATTATAATTTAATCTATCACGTGACAAATTTTCAAACCCAGGAAAATAAAAGCAAAAATATTATATTTTTTCGATTTAGAAGATGTTACCAGACTCATTAGCCAATTTCATAAATCAGCCAGACTTATTATTATTCATAATTGTATCAATTTTATATGCTTAATTTTCTGCCACACTCACTTTCCACTGTCTAAGATTAACCAAACTGCTATTTTTATAAGCTTTATGTTCTAGTTTAGTAAATGTAAAATAATTATGACTGGGAAAATAAGTGTCAGACTCAAAAATTTTGTTTTTGTCACTAAGAGAACAGTTTATTTTCATATACACCGACTGGAAAAATGAATACGAAAAAAATTCACTGCCTCCTAAACTAAATGTAAAATTGCAGAATCAATTTATTTTATTTTTTAATTTCTGTTCTGAAATCTGAAATGTATGAATGGATGTGCGATAAATGTTCAAATTATTTTTGGGGGGGCTAATTTGGTTTTTGGGGGGGCTTAGCCCCCCCAAGCCCCCCCTTAACTTCGCCCATGAACATTACTTATAAGTACATAATTACTAATTTAGTTAACATTCATAACTGCGATTATAAAAACTATGTCTAATCTTCCAGCTCTCTATTTGTTCCCAGTGATCCAATATTTTACGTCCCAAATATATTTTTTTAAACAATTTTTTTATGATTTTGTCCTTTTCTCCTCATTTTTGTTTATTTCATCAATGTTTTAATGTAGTTTTATATTTATAATTATTATAAATGTAGCTGTACTTTCATCAAGAAATCACTTTCAATGACGTTATAGATGATAGTTTTACAATTACATGCTTACAAGTTACAAAATATTTATATATTTTATAGATGTCCTTTTACATGGTTAATAACCGAATGTAACACGTGTTGCAGAAGTCATTATTGCATTTTTTTTTTAAATATTAACATATAAAAGATGCAGTCGACTTATTTCCATCTGTTGAAAACAAAGACAATTACACAAATTGAAATGGTTACTTAACAAATGTCCAGGTTGTTATGCTATTTTAACAATTTTCTCATACAAACCCAATCTGCAATTCCCTACAATTGTTACTCTACCTTCCTATACACATCTACTGAAGGCAAAGTGAGAAAGGTTGATATTTCAAGAGTAAACAACATATGACTGTAACTATGTTCTCTAATAAAATGTTTCAAAATGAATTTTTAAAAGAGTTTGAAAATAGAAAACCTGAAATTATAAATGCTTTGGTTCTGTAACCTACCGCATCCAGGTATCTTCATAATTTATTAATTCCATTTATTAAAGAGAATATTGCATTCTTATTAAATTATTATTATTTACGACACCTACTAAATAATATCTATAACTCTGTCCATAAGAGAATCAATTTTCTTCCAAGTGTCTGGGAACCCAACCCGAAACCACCATACAACATAAATTTTGTCACGAAGTAATAATCCTTCAAACAATTAACGAACTTATCTTAAGTCAGTTTTAAATAGTAACATTGTTTCGACAAAAAATTTTTTCAATGCAAGTAATAAATCGACACCCCTTTTCTATCCACCAAAATTCGTTTCCACCGGAGTTACGACAAAAGTCAGTAAATTGGGTATAAAGACTCGATCCCGAGGAACTCGAGATAAATTAAGAAATCAAACTTCATTCATTCATTACTCTTCAAATCTCGTATTCAGTACCTTTCCTAAACCGACGGTGTTCCTACCCTACCTCCTATCGACACTCATACGTCGCGACGTTCTGCGTCCCGACGAGCTATCTCCCGAACGTTGTCACGTCCGACGCTATCCGTTCCGACGTCATCTTTTCTATCCGACGCTCTGCGTCCCGGTGCCCTATATCCCATTCGACGCTCTACGTTCCTATACCTCCCTACCTTTTTACTTCACGATGCACTCTCTTATACGACGCTCTACGCCACAAAGCCCTCTCTATGCGCCGCAACCCTACATTCAGACCCTCTTGGTTCTATACGTCCCGATGCCCCTTCAATATTTCCAAATCAGCAACACTTATCAATAACAATATAAAAACGGCAGAAACAGATGATGAGTCAATAATTTAAAAGAGGTTTAATATTGTATTATTCAATATTAAAGAAATGTATTGCATCATTAACGTCACATTTGGTACACTAGATGGACACGTCCCAGTACGTATTTGGCGCTTTATTATACCAGCCTCGCTAATAGCTACTAAATTAACCACTCAGCTGATTGGGGCAAATGACACTTCGGACAGCTAGACTCACATCTTACACAAATATGCAGGGTTGGTTGGACTATAAATAATTATCTCTACATATTTGCACCGTAGGTAGATCTGAACATAAGGGGTAGTTCGCTGGTATTGATTCGGCTCTATTCTATTAGGACTACACTACATAACCCCACATAGCTCAGGCTGAAACATAAGGGATATCCGTCTGTTATTGCAACGACTGTATCTCAGTAAGCGCATCTATATAAAAAAAAAAACGACGAAACAAAGAATTATTACAGATAGTGCAATTCTGAGGACATCAGCAGTATATCCTAAAGAATTCTTCAACAGCATATATTTAATGGCAAGTGGCCTGTGACCTGTTTATTTAGGCGGGACACATGTGAGATCTCGGTGAAAAATATAATTTCTCATTCCCCAATTTAAGTAATGATATCGCTATTTTATTTGAGGGTAAATATAATTTGAGTTTTATTTCATTCACAAATTTGTACTAAACTTTCCATCGAATCCTGGTTTATCTAAATTAACATTATCACAACGTAGGTATATAAATTATCAATTAATTAACCAGAAAAAAATACATTATGAATTACTTTGAATTTCACAAAGTAGAGTGAGGTAATTAAATACATGCTTTTAAGTAATTAAGAAGCGACCGGAGTGGAGGCGGTTACAGTTCTTTTTCTTTCAGTAATACCGCATAAGTTTTTTACCATTAACAACAGACCCTACATTGAACATATTTTTTAAAGAAGACAAAAAACCAAATGAATCATTAAACTAGTATTTAAATATAATCAGTATTGTAAAAAAACTGTTTTTGTTTCAGACTAATTGCTTCAGGACAAAGGCCGAACATCAACGCAGAACAAGTAGTATGGCAACTGGTCAAACTTCTGGCATCCCACGACGATCCAACACTTAAAACTAAAATTTCAAAACTGGCGAAAGCTCTCTTGGCATATCAACCCAATTTTCAGACACAAATTGCGTCAAGAAAAAAGGCTCTAGAACAAGCTGTTCAAGGCAAGTAATAGAAAACCTTTAGTATTAATAGTAGTTTGTGCAACAAGAGTGGAAATGGACAATCCAAACTGGCTATATCGCACGAAGATGAAATTTGAGTGCGATATGGACAATCCGCTCGAGTTGTACAGTATATTTTTCTACGACCCACTGAAGAAAGTCTACAAATTTAAAAAGTTATTTTAGGATATTGTGACACAATAACTAGTCCCCAGCCCAGATTTGAACCGGGACCTCTCGCATGGAAAACAGATGCGTTTCCTCACCTCCGCCACAACATTTAGGATTTTTGTTTCAATACTCTTAATTAAATTAGTTTCATATAGTTTGATTAAAATTTAAAATTTATTTCTAAATGTCAACGAAATAAAAATAGAAATTTTATTATTTATCGATTCTGCACAAAAATAACTCATTTTAATGTATATTTAACCTCAATAACCAAACAATATACTGACAATATTAGTTTGATAGAATTGTCACTTATTTAAAATTTTAAAAATAATAGTAGTAGGGTGACCAGAATAACTATGGATTTCATTTTTTTTTGCAGTGTTCTCACTACGTAGAATGGATATGAAATATATTTGTTCAATTGAACGCAATATCTACGCACGGACTACAAAACAAAAATGTATTCTATTGCGTTCAACTGAATATATTTCATATCCATTCTAGGCAAAAAAATTAAATCTACCAATCACAGTTTCATATTTGGGTTACCCGGCTATTATTATTTTTAAAATTTTAATAAGTGATAATTTATCGTCTTCCTGAGATTCATCAATTTCTTGGTCTGAGTCGTTCTCCAGTTCTGCATTTAAAAGAACAGTTTCTTGATGGGACATAATCAGGATCTTTTATGGAGTCAACAGAGTCACTAAAATTAGGAAATATATCTTTTTCTGAGTAGCTTGCTATTTTTCGCACTCGTCTGGGTGGTAAGGTGTCTGTGCTATTCAAATTATTATAGTCATTCTGATTTCTTGAACTTGTTGATGGTAAACAAGTGTGATCATCTACTTGGCCTGTAACAAATAGAAAGCATGTATTAATCTTTCTTCGTTGACTATAATACCTAAAGAATTACGTGTTATCAATGTTCCCCTATAAATGTCTACTAGTTCTTCCCCGTCACTATTTCCACCCACATATCCGAATGTTCTGCTTGCTCATCATCCAATCCTTCAAGCCATTCGAAAATCTCATTAGCACCAAATTTAGAAAGCTCATCCAAATTTATTTTAAACATATTCAGAAAACTGCAGAGTACAATTTAATTCAAAATATATCAACAAAGGTATAGTATGGCTATGTCACAGTACATTAAAAATATTACATTAGTATGAATTCATCTAAACAAATTTACGTAAATCTTTTCAGCGCCAAAAGTAATAGATAACAAACAATTAAAGAATGATATCAGGCAATATTGAAGAATAGTTTTCTAAAATAATGTGAAAATAAAGAAAAAAGAAAGAAAATGTGTAAAACATTGTTTTATAATAAAGTGAGGTTATTTTTATTAGTTTGCAATATTTTATCAATTGTTTAAAAAATATAATAAAATATCCAGAACATTATACCGGTAAGTGTCTAGCAGAGATCTGGTCTAAATTCAGACTGTGCGCTAAATCGTACAAGTAGAAAAATTAAGTGGTTTAAATACCAACCATTGCCCGCTAAAGGGTTAAAGCTTTTGGTTTTTCAAAGCCTAGTTCTATTAATTAATCATATAGTGATAACGGTTTGCGTGGAAATATGGGCAACAAATAACCTTTCATTGTTAGGGAAAATCGAATTTTCCCTGTGTTATCCCAAGGATCCACTCGTAAATTTCCTTTCATTCTACTTAAAATCGATGTACTTTTCAACTCTCTTCGAGGCTTGTATGCGAAAATGGGGCACCTAAACCTGTCACTATATGACGGTCTAATAGGATTAAATGGAGAAACCTGTTTATGAAATAAATGAAACGCATAAATTATGGACCTGCATGGCCTGAAAAACAATATTTGCTTCTTCTGTAACTAACATGGTCAAACTTTTTCCAGTTTAATCTTGCATTTCAAATAAGCACTTATTTCATGCAAATATTAAACACAAACATTACGACTAATTTGGAAAAATAGAAAATTCAAACAATTTCTAAACAAAGACGTTCATCACTCTGAAATTGCTCAATTGTCAATAAGTTTCTCTTTTATTTAAATACTCGTTGCATGATCATGATGTTCACAAAAAATATATCATCGCGACTATCTCCGATCAGTTCGGTTGACATTAAATATTCAACAATTTTAATCGATCGAGAAAGAGAAAGTTCATGTAGAGATTCTCTTAAGAAAAAAAAAACTAAAACAAACAATGAGTAATAATAAGTTGTAAGAGGACACTGTGAGACACCTACGTAATTTATCGGTGAATTGTTAATTCAAAGGAGAGAATCATGTATACTTATGTTGTAGGTGGAGAATAATTTAAAATAGCCTCCTTTGCTGGTACTGCCTTTTTTGGATGTGGATTTTAGACATTTGTACTTGAAAATTTAAATTATCACTAAATTAGTCATTCAGGTAAATGAATTAATAATAATAGATTTATTGCTTTTAAATTAATCAAATAAAAATTAACATAACGAAAAACTATAGCATTTTTATAAAATAAAAATAAAACAAATTAAAAAAATATGTTGATTACCATATATCCTGGCTTTAAGTTATTCATTTATTATAAATGATCTTTGTTTTAGAATGTTCAATATACTTTTTGGGTGTCATGACATTATAAATAAGTCAATCAAACAAAATTTGGTCAATGAACTCATTTTTATTACAAGCTGTATAAATTTCTTTAATATTTATTGTGTATAATAATCATGGATAATGATGATCCATAAGTGAACTTCAACTTATATGTATTACTCAGTCTCAACTGTGCTGTATTGCGAATAATCTTAAAAGGAAGTTTTATGGAAAGTTAATTTTTAGACTAGTTTCTATTTTTTGTATCTTCAGGCATTATTCTGCTCCCCCCTCCCCCCACCTAGGAATTCCGGCAGACTTCTCCCAATCCCCCATTTGGGTCCAGCCACTGGCTCACCTCAATTAAGCTTGGGGTTCAGTCTACTTCCTCTCCTCGCATATGTATCACCATTTGGATGCCCTACTCCTTCCCATTCAGTATACATTCATCATCATTCATTCCACGTCGTCGAGAGTTACCGCTAGTCGGGACCAACGATCACACATCCAGGACGTGACTGGAGACATTACTGCTTAACGTAAATGCACACTAGTCTCGCTGCTATCCTGGTTGTTGAACATTGAAAAGTTAATGGAAAAAGATCTTTGGGCCAATGCTACATCCTCTTTATGTAGCTTATTATTAAACTAGCACAATGATGTTTTTTATATGAAAGACTGTTTCAAATAGCGCAAGCATCAATACTGATATAATCAGGGGCGTGCGGTCCATGGAAGCGGGGAAAGCACCGCTTCCCTACACTTTGAGATTTAAAAATAAACATTTTTCAGTTTACAATGCATAGAAATTAATATTAAATTAGGTACTATATTTTCTCTGAAACATTACTTAAACTTCGTAAATGTACTAACAATTCATTGGTGTAATGTGTAAACGCACGCACCACCCATGAGAAAATTAATTGTGTAAACGTACACACCATATACTTCGAGTCCGTCGGCGGAAGCACGTCTTGAAAAAGCTGGCTCATCTTCCAATTGATTTCGCTTCGTGTTATTGACCCTGCTTTGCCGCGACACTAGTCAGTCTGTTTGTACACGTGAAATACGGTCGAGAGGCAGCGATTTTTACGTCGCCTTACGCATATTGCAATTCGCACCGCGAATCGACGTGTGAGGAAAATCGTAGACTTCAGATAGATTTCGGTTTGTTTTTCGTAGTTATTTTTCTTTTTATAAAATGGAAGAACTATGCACTGTGCCTGTGAACAATAATAATGTGGTAAATTGTGTCTGTATTATGTGCTCTTTATTGAAAAGAGGAGTTTCAAGTAGAAATTTTGATGAGAAAACGGACATTGTTAATTCTAGTAGACTAAAGGATCCTATCAATTTAGAGTCGAAAATAGAAAAGTCAGCAAAGAAATTTACCAGGCATTTTCACGTAGGGTTCTATGGAAAGTATAAATATGGCTAACCGGCTGCAAAACTTTGAAGAAATTGTTTTGCTGGCCTTGCCTACTTTTTAATATAGCCGAAAAAACACATTGGAACTTAGTCGGTATTACAGACTTGAATAATTTTCACAAAAGTGTAAAACGACATGTAAATAGCAAATCTCATATAAGTGCTATAATTAAAGAAAAAACATTCGGGACCTACCGCATTGAACATAGTTTGGACAATAATTTAAAAATAAGCAACAAAATTCACAATGAAAGGGTAAAAAAAATAGAAACGTCTTACAACGATTAATAGATGAAACTTGTTTCCTGGGAGAGCATGAACTAAGTTTTAGGGGTCACAATGAAGCAAGTGGATCCGCCAATCGAGGAAATTACATAGACCTCAAGAGCGATTCTTAGGATTTTTGGACGTCACTAGCGAACGAACTGCAGATGCATTGTTTAAAATTGTTTGTGACATTATTTCAAGTTTAGAATGTGATTCTAAGCTTGTTGCTCAGAGCTACGATGATGCTGCCCTAATGGCTGTCCATTTAGGAGGCCTTCAAGCTAAAGTGAAAGAAAAGTTTAAACATGCAATTTTCGTTCACTGTATAGTACATAGACTTAATTTGGTTTTATCGTGAAGCATGGATAATATTAAAGATTCTAAAGTTTTCTTTTCGACGCTTAGTGGTTTGGCTTCCTTCTTTTCAAAGTCATCGAAAATAACTCGCGCTTTGGACATTCACGTTCAAACAAGGTTTCCAAAAGTTGCTCCGACGCGATGGAACTACAATGGACGTTTAGTGCAAACAGTGTTTCAATACCGTGATTCTTTGGTACGCTT